GGTATGTTTGTGTGGATTTTGTTTGAAAGTTGAGGCTTGTTTCAGAAATTTGCGTATGGAGCAGGGAGGGAGAGAAAGAGACAATGATAAGGAGTCAGGTTGTTTATATATATATGGATGTGTGTGTGTATATATATACGTGTTCATTTCCGCCCGTAAAACCTCTACTAAAACTACTACCTGTACCTCCCCTCCCCAGAGCACCCTGGTCCGGTCAGCAAACAGCCCGCACAACCTGTCCACCTCCATCTCCGGCTACAGCACCTTCAACGGCACCCTGTCCCCTGGCTCCATGCACAGCCTGTCCTTCGAGGGCTTCATGGAGTCCACGCTAGCTAACTCCCCGCCCGTGCCCGCCAAAGAGGCCTTCCAGTACCTGTACCGGCCCAGGAACTTCCAGGAGAAGGCGCGGATCAACTGCGCGTGAGTCACCGCCTCAGTTTTTTGTTTTGTTTTGTTTGGATTTTTTTTGTGTGTGTGCGGGTGTTTAGTTAAATTTGTTCCTTAAGAAGAGAACATCCTTATTTTTGCTGCATGGTTTATTTTGATGGGTCCTTGAAGAGGCTGCCCCATTTTTTGTGAGGTTTATTTTGATATGTCCTCTTAGTTTATGTTGATTTATTCTTTAAGGGGGGACCCCCCCCCCCCCTCTATTTTGATTTTTTCTTAATCTTAAAGAGACCACACCTCTCAGGATTAATAGTAGCTGTGGTACGATGTATGTAAGTTGGTTTTGTCAACACCTACAGTCTTCTTGTGTTATCATGTGATGTGATTATGCGTTGATAGAGAGAGAGAGAGAGAGAGAGAGAGAGAGAGAGAGAGAGAGAGAGAGAGAGAGAGAGAGAGAGCGAGAGAGAGAGAGAGAGTAGCATAGGATGTGTTTTATTCCAAGGAAATCTGAGTGTTCTTTTTTCTGCTTAATTTTAGATGGTTGGATTCCTCCACGTCCCTAATGGAGCAAGGGATCAGAGAGAATGATTTCATTATGCTCAAGTTTAAGTTCTACAATTTCTACGACCTCAACCCAAAGGTGAGTCAGACGCCTTTTCTGATAGTGTCCATGTCCGCTGCTAAACTTCTGTTTGACTGTTTGTTAATCTGTATGTTCTGATACGTTCGAGAGCGAGAGGTGCGCAGGTCTTGCATTTCACAAAGTCTTTTAAGGTGTCTTGAAAGCATTTTTTAAAGTGCAGCCCATCCTCCAAATATATTTTCTTTCTTTCTTTCTCCCCCCCCCTCTCTCTCTCTCTCT